ACTCAGATGTACCGTGAGTCCTTACCCGATGATGCTCACACCACCTCTCCCTGACAGGTGATCGATGATAAGTGGACTGGAACGCTCAGTAGCTACCGGCATAGCATACAAATCCTGACCCCGTGGAGAGCGATTAGGGTGGTAGGGATTTTCCTCTGCTGTTGAAGTATCACTATGCCTTATGCCATTGCGTGAATTCCAGATGCGCTGTGCTGTTCCGGCTATCTGGGTTGGGCTACCATCTTTAACAGAGGAAGTCTTGGAGCCATGCGGGGATGCCACTCAGAAAGACCCTCTTCACTAGTTCGGATGGATCACCAATGGCCTCGCGGTGATCCCTGTATCCCTGGTAGACGTGCCCTTCCAACTGCAAAAAGAAGTCCATTGGTGCCTGGCTTGGTGTCATCCGGATGTCGTATAGAACTTTGTAGAAGTCCAAGGAGGTGTAGGTACCTCGGAACTTACTACGGAGAGCTGCCTTGAATGTGTCCATTCTGTGATCGAGTCGAAGAGAGGGGAATTAATGATTAGCTCGGCTGGACCTCTGCAGTTTGCCCGTGCTGCCTGAATGAACATCTCTGATGTGGCTGGCTTCACAATGTTCTCAATTGTCCGAATCCAACTCTCTATTGCTTGGTTCTTATTGAGCGGCTGTGAGGCAGAAGTATCCCCCTTGAAGTGCGGGGCAGTTTCCTTCGTGAACACATAGGAGAATGGTGTGCCAGACAACTGAGACGAGGGATGTGCTGACTGAGGACGCTGAGGCGAAGACCTAGGCCGGAACCGCTGCAGCAGGGATGTTTGTGGTTCATATGTGTGTTGACGTTCAGGATACAGCGGGCCTCAGTCAGCTCCCTGTTCCGTTCCTCTAGCTGGCGGCGGAGCTCCTGAATTTCCTGTTCTCGGGTATGTACCACAGGCACGGGCACAGTGTTCTTCCGCAGTAGTTGAAGGCGGGTCTCCTCCAGCTCCCTGTTGCGTTCCTCCAGCTGGCGACGGAGTTGCTGAACTGGATCCTCCTGGATCATCATCATCATCAGGGGCTAACGCCAACGGCCCGGGGCGCAAAGCCGCATCAACCCTTTGTTTCCACCTTTTGGGTTCCCTCATGGCAAGCAAGGTCTGTACTTATATAGGCCTTGATGGCAAGCCGCCAGGCAGGGACTCGGCCCATCTCGAGCTCCTCACGATAGACTAGGCAAGAAATCCAAAAATATGTTTATTTAAGTTTCTAGAAGCATTTTTGAGTAAAAGCAAGCAAATGGGTCTATCTTGAGTGTTTTTTCGTGCTGAATATTTTGTTTGCCAAGGCTGAAAATGCTTAATTAGGTCAATGAGTGTTTTTTTTTTTTTTTTAATGCTGTATTGGATAGTCTCCATACAAATATATAAAAGATTTTTCAATATATTGAAGAATAAAATCTACACAGGTCATCCAAAACTCAAATTTAAAGGAAAACATAAAGAAGATATGAGCTTTGATGGCGAATATCTCCTTAAGGGTAAGACTTAATATTTTATATCAGGTTTGCATTCCCTTTCTTTTCAAATAGTACAAAGTGCCGTAAAGTAGGATTTTTTTTTTTTTTTTGCATCATTTTGAAGTTTTGAATTCTGTGGTCATTTTGGAAACAATTTATGGTCCATAGTTTTCTTAATTTGGCGTACTATTAAGGGAAGTTAAATGAGTGATTTTTTTCTCAGAAACTGCTTTATTCGACTTTCTTCATGCAAAAAACGCAACACATTTTTCAATATTTTGAATATAAAATCTACAGATGTCATCGAAATTTGAAAATCAAAGGAAAACCTGAAGCAGATTACAGCTTTTTTGCTGAATATCTCCCAGGATCAGGTATTTGATGTAAAGGAATCAAGGATTCCTTGTCTAATATTATATATATAGAATTTAGATCAAGAATTTATTTGATTTAATGTATTAACATGAGAATGATTATTTAATTTCATTTAGTTTGTAACGTTGGCTACAGTGACGTTAGAGTTGTACGAACGCCCTACAAAAACGCATTGTTGTGAATCCGCGGAGCCCCTCTAGAGAGCCACGTGAGACGTCTTGTGCTGCGTACTTTTAAATTATTCTTGTTTTATGAAGATTTGGGCTAGCCACACTCTTTTCACCTCACAATCACGTGCACGTTCACGCGTACGTGTATGTTGTCATCTTGCAAGTTGGATACACTGCTCATACCTACCAGCTTGTGAACATGACAATAAAGGTTTAACTGACTGCTAGTGTTTTACTGGAGGCAGTACAGTGAAAAGAGTTGCTAGCCCTTCTTCTAAGGCTACAGTGCAAAGAGTAGCTAGCCATCTTCCAAGCCTATTGTGAAAATAGTTGCCAGCCATCTTCTATGCCCAGAGTGAGAAGAGTGAGATATCTAACAAGCTGAGTGAAAAGAGTCAGCCTTCTGTTGAGTGAAGAGTTATACAACTATCAACAAAGGAAAGTCTCTCTCAGCATCTTGCCGAATAACTTCAGGAGAATTGTTCAGCATGTCGACTACAAGCAACGCAGACGTTCACATTAAAATGGAAGCGGAGGAGGATCCACAGCAGGAACCCCCCACAGTTAGACCCAGATGAAACAAGACCGTCTGGAGCAAGAATAAGGACCCTTACAGAAAAAGGAGAAGAACTGTACATTTCCACAACAACCAAATATTTGGATCAGCTCTCTCAAGTGCAGTGTACAGTTGAAGACCTAATGTTAAGGTATTACAAAGGCGGTGCAGCCGCAGAAAGTGATAGTGAATATAAGAAAGCTCTTGAAAAGAACTTAGATTCTTATTCAAGGTGTGTAATCAGTTTTTAGAGTATTTGAGTAGAACAAATACGGAAGAAAGCAGGAAAGATTATATGAAGTACAAAGCAAAAAGTGATGTGATCATACGTGATATAAAGAAAGAGTAGAATATCTTGATAAAAGATATGCAGTTGAAGAAGTTAAGTCTGAGTGCTCGGAGAAATTAAGTGCTAAATCAGTTGCAGAAAGTGTCTCAGCTATGTTGTTAAGTAAAAGAATACAAGCTGAAGCCACAAAAGTTAAGCTTGAAAGTGCATTGAAAGAGGCAGAAATAAAGAAAAGAAAAGCAAAGTTACAGTGTGAGGAGGCAGAAATTGAAGCAGAATTAGAATTATGTGTGTCTCGTCGCAATGCTCAGTTGGCTGAAGTTGAGTACAGAGTAGTGTGTGAAGAAAGTAGTGATAAGTTGTCATCTATTTCAGGTAGAATACCTGGTGTACAGTTACAACAGAAAGTTCTTTCACAAGAACTCCTGCAGCAAGAGGCAGCAGATTCTTTAAGTCGTGTCAAGCAGTACGTGGAAGATCAGAACAAGGTACCAGAATTTGATCTCAACCCTTCTTTGGAACAAGCTATGCCTGTCATACAACCTCTTCGTAGTCAGCCCAGTGATGCCAAGGCTAATCCTGTGAGTAACAGTTGTTGTGGAGAATTGTCGCGTTTCCTTTTGAAGAAGGAACTTTCCCTGGCACGTTTCAGTCCATTTGATGATCGTCCTGAGTCTTATGTGCCTTGGAAAACTACTTTTCAGCAGACCATTCAAGATCTGCATGTTACGTCTTTGGAAGAAGTTGACCTTTTACTCCGGTGGCTGGGCCCTGAGTCGTCCAAATTTGCACAGAGTATAAGGACTTCCAATATACATGATCCAAGTAAGTGCATCAAGTTGATATGGAAGAGGCTTGAAGATAGATATGGCAGTCCTGAGATTATTGAAGCATCTATCAAGAAGAAACTAGAAAAGTTTCCTAAGGTTACGTTCAGAGATCCCAAGAAACTGTATGATCTGCATGATCTTCTTGCGAAGTACAGTCGCTTAAAGAAAATCCACTTTACGAGAAACTGTTTGGACACTTTGACACATCTGCAGGAATAAACCCTGTGATAAGCAAGTTACCTCCTTCAGTACAAGGAAAATGGCGAGACAAAGCATCCAACTACAAGAAAACACAAGGTGTGTTATTCCCACCCTTTTCTTATTTTGTAGACTTCATTTCTGACGTTGCACAAATCCATAATGATCCAGGATTTAATTTTGAGCCAGAAGTAAAATCTCATACAGACAAGACTTCAAAGCTAGATAAATTTAAAGTAACTACAAAGAAGACTGTAGTGCCTGATGAAGAAGCCTTAAATGTATAATACATGGGACCAACCATTCTCTACATGAATGTAAAAGCTTTAAGTCAAAGTCTTTAGAAGAACGCAAGAAACTTCTGAAAGAAAATAGAATATGTTTTAAGTGTTGCATCTCGAAGAACCACTTAAGTAGAGATTGTCCAGAGGACATAACCTGTAAAGACTGTGGAAGTAAATACCATTGCACTGCTATGCATTTGAAGAAATTTCAGTCTGTTCCTGAGACAAGTACTAAGGCTCATGGCAGGGAGAAGCCGGAGCAGAGTGTTGTTAAAGAGTCAGTACGTGAACAAGCTTTAGATGTGACCAACAAGAGTACTGGTGTATGTGAGGAATTTCCTGGAAAGTCTTGTGCTAAAATTTTGCCAGTTTACGTTTTTCATGAGAGTAACCCGAGGAAGCGTATGAAGTCATATGTTATATTAGATGATCAGAGTAACAAATCTTTAGCTAAAGGAGAGCTTTTAGATTTCTTTGATGTTCGCTCTGTGGCAGAGGAATACATCATAACTAGTTGCTCTGGCCGTTCAGTTATGACAGGAAGGAAAGCTGGTGGACTATGCATACAAGCTGTTGATGGTAGTCTACAGATGAGCCTTCCTACAGTCATCGAATGTGATGAACTTCCTAATAATAGGACTGAGATTCCAACTCCCAACATTGCTCGACTTCATCCACACCTCAAAGACATTGGTTCAGAAATTTCACCTCTTGATGATCAGGCTCAGATTCAATTATTGATTGGTAGAGATCTACCGAAGCTCACCATGTACTAGATCAAGTAACAGGTCCACCAGGTACACCCTTTGCCCAGAAGATGAAGTTAGGCTGGGTAATTATAGGTGAAGTCTGCCTGGGGAAGCATCACGCAACAAAGAATGTGAATGTAAGGAAAATATATGTAAATCCTGATGGTCGTCCATCAGTCTTGAAGCCTTGTCCAAGTTGTATATGTGTACAAGAAGACACAGGATATCACAGCGGTTTTACACCATGGAAGGAAAATGATATTGGTTCTACAGTGTTTCACCGAACCAAAAATGATGACGAACCTGGAAAATCCACAGAAGACAAAATGTTCTTGAAGTTAATGGAGAAAGAATTTGTCAAAGAACCAGCAGGTAACTGGAGTGCACCTTTACCTTTTAAGCCCTTAAAGAAAAGATTACCGAACAATAAATCCATGGCTGTGAGACGTGCCAATAGCCTAGCCAAGAGTCTTCAGTTCAATTCTGTTAAAAGAGAACATTTCCTAGACTTTATGAAAAAGCTTTTGGAAAGAGGTCATGCTGAAATAGCACCACCTTTGAAAGAAAATGAAGAATGTTGGTATCTTCCAGTGTTTGGAGTGTATCATCCAAAGAAACCTAGTCGTATCAGGTGTGTTTTTGACTCTGCTGCTAAGTTTAGAGGTACATCATTGAATGATGTGTTGATGACAGGTCCTGACCTAAATAATTCTCTGTTGGGTGTACTTCTACGTGTTCAAAAGAATAGAGTGAACCGTATTCACAGGTCAACTAAGCCAGAGCAATGGAATTATGTTCCTACATCTGTGAATCCAGCTGATCGAGCAACTCGCTCTATGGTGAATGATTTCTCGTGTGACGACATATGGCTGAAAGGACCTGAAACATTCTGAGTAGGCGTCATGATCTTGCTCAAGAAACTCCACAGCTAGTTCAACCAGAAGATGATAAGGAAGTAAGGCCAGATGCTCTGGTAAAGGCAGCTAAAACCTGTGTGATTGACAATTTATCAATTGGGTGTCACAGATTTGAAAGGTTCTCTGAGTGGTATCGCCTAGTAAATACTGTTGCTTTATTGCAGAGATGTGCATGTGCCAAATCATTTAAAGGTAGAGCTGATAGAAGTGTAGAGTCTTTCAGAAAAGCTGAAATATTTGTGATCAAAGCAGTTCAAAAGGAAACTTACAAAGAAGAAATTAGACTTCTTGAAGCAAAAATGCATCTTCCAAAATCTAGCTCGATTATGGCTCTCAACCCGTACTTAGATGAAGATGGTGTGTTAAGGGTGGCGGAAGATTGCAACAATCAAGTCTTGGAAGTTACCAGAAACATCCAATCATTTTGCCTGGTAAAGTCATATTTCTACACTTATAGTACGTCACTATCACCAAAGTGTTCGACACCAAGGACGTCATCTTACAGAAGGAGCTGTTAGATCTGGTGGATATTGGATTACAGGCGTGAAACGGTTGATCTCATCAATCTTACACTCCTGTGTCCAGTGTAGAAAGTTACGAGGTAAAGAAGAAGTCCAGTTGATGAGTGATCTACCAGCAGATCGCTTAGAACATACTCCACCCTTTACCAATGTTGGAGTTGATGCTTTTGGACCTTGGACTATAACGACACGCAGAACTCGTGGTGGATCAGCAAATTCGAAACGGTGGGCTATTTTGTTCACTTGTCTTACAACAAGAGCAATACACATTGAGTTGGTAGAAGAAATGTCCTCTTCAGCTTTTATTAATGCACTTAAAAGATTTGAAGCTTTCAGAGGTAAAGTTAAACTGTTTAGATCTGACCGAGGAACCAACTTTGTTGGTGCAACTGATAGCCTCAAGATAGATGCAGTAAATGTGGAAGAAAAGAAGATAGTAGACCATCTGTACCAAACAGGCACTAAATGGATCTTCAACGCTCCCCATTCATCGCACATGGGAGGTGTATGGGAACGCCTCATTCGAATCTGCCGGAAGATCTTAGAGTCAATGCTAGCTGAAACTCCTTATAAAACTTTGACGCATGAAGTGTTATCAACCTTCATGGCAGAAGTATGTGCCATAGTGAACAATCGACCAATAGTAAACGTATCAACTGATCCAGAAAACCCTTTCATCTTGTCACCTGCCACCATTCTTACTCAGAAAGTTGGAATAGACCATGTAGAAGATTCAGTAGGAGAAATTGATACAAAAGACCTTTTGAAAACAGAATGGAAACGTGTTTCTGCCCTCTCAGAAATATTTTGGAATCGTTGGAAAAAGAATATCTGCACACACTCCAAGAACGTAGAAAATGGTGTTGTGCAAAACCTAGTCTCACTGAAGGTGATGTTGTGTTATTGAAAGACAGAAGTGTTTGTCGTACACAATGGCCATATGGAATTGTTGTAAGAGCTATCCAAAGTGAAGATGGCAAAGTAAGGAAAGTGGAGTTAAAGGTTATGAGAGATGGAAAGCCAGTTGTGTACACAAGACCAATTTCAGAGTTAATTCTTTTGGTTTCTGGTGCTAAGTAGCTATTTTTTATTTGAACAAGTCACATTTCAGTTCCTATTTGTCATTTAATCAGTAGTGATATCAAATTTGTTGATATCAGGCAGGGAGTGTAAAGGAATCAAGGATTCCTTGTCTGATATTATATATATAGAATTTAGATCAAGAATTTATTTGATTTAATGTATTAACATGAGAATGATTATTTAATTTCATTTAGTTTGTAACGTTGGCTACAGTGACGTTAGAGTTGTACGAACGCCCTACAAAAACGCATTGTTGTGAATCCGCGGAGCCCCTCTAGAGAGCCACGTGAGACGTCTTGTGCTGCGTACTTTTAAATTATTCTTGTTTTATGAAGATTTGGGCTAGCCACACTCTTTTCACCTCACAATCACGTGCACGTTCACGCGTACGTGTATGTTGTCATCTTGCAAGTTGGATACACTGCTCATACCTACCAGCTTGTGAACATGACAATAAAGGTTTAACTGACTGCTAGTGTTTTACTGGAGGCAGTACATTTGACATCATTCAGTTTCTACCCTATGCTCATCCAAAATCTTCCTTCTATCTGAAAATGTTCTAATCTCATTAGCCTTCTATTATTTTTAGCAAGATTCAATGGCCTATGTCAAGGCCAAAAGGTCTCCACATCAGAATTGCTGCTGCAGTTGAAAGTGCCCAATCACTCGCACACATATCAAATTGAAAGTGAAAGTGAAAGTACAATACAGTACATGTGGGCTATACATTTTACATGTATGCATACATGGACTGTGTGCCTATATCAAGGGGTACGGATGATCTAAACTGTGGGTTGGCCCCTGTTGTCGAAGTAATGTGTAAACTTGTTACATGGTTTTAGGTAAATGACCGGTGTTCCCTTGATTGCCTAGGCCTGCCACACAGGGGCAGATACACGGTTGCAGGGGATACCAAGTGCCCTTTGTTTCGCCGTTTTGTTGCCAGCCTCTCCATTGCCGACTGACTTCGGATGGAAACGTCGATGGCTCACTGTTACCCGTTCCGACTTCTCTGCCCCCAGTTCCCAAAGCATGTAAAGACATTGCCCTGTGCAGCTACACTAAAGGCTGCATAACCAAGAGCTGCTTATGTCGGAAGTGGGGAGATCAGCCACGTGCTGATACCTGTAACTGCAGTGAAAGTGAGGCACTTTGCAGAAATAGGGCTAAGTAGAAGTGAACTCTGATGCCAACATGCGTGGTAAGACCCTTTGGACCATAAATTCGTTCTTAATGTCTTACGTCACCAATTCAGAGGATGAAAATAACCAGATGAGCTACCACCCCTAATGGTAGGGGGCAGGGCTTAGAAATTGGGACATGCCATTGGGTGTTATTTCTTCAAACAAAAGTGTCTGCAGCATTCTTTGGCAAAACCACATATACCAAGAATTGGTATTTGGTTAAAATAATAATAATAATAATTCATAATTCCGTGATCGTTACAAAATGTAAATTTGCACTCATTATCCTTTCCTCATTTATACTGCTAATTAAGGAAACTTTGGAGTGCAGATGGTCGTAAAGGTGGTATCTGGTGTGAAAGAGCCTCACTGCATTTTTTACCGCATAAAATGAAAGGAATGCATCCCAGTGACAAAATATCAAAAGTCTTACCGTTAAGGAGATATTCGTCTCAAAATCTCAAATCTGCTTCAGGTTTTCTTTTAATTTTGAAATTCTGATGTTTATTTTTCAAAATATTTAAAAAAAAAAAACACTGTAGCATAGGAGTTAAGAATGTCAAATGAAGCATTTCTTTAAAAATAATAATAATAATAATTAAATAAATAAATTTTGTACTCATTGACCTTTCCATAATTATATGACTAATTGATAAAGCTTTGGAATATGAAGGGTTTCAAAGTTGTTCTCAGATTCCATGACTTCAAACTAATATAAAAAAAGCCTATTTTCCTACACTTTTAATCCTTGAAACAAAAGGAACGCAGCCGTGTCACAAAATATCAAAAGTCTTACCGTTAATGAGATATTCGCCATAAAAGTTCTTCAGGTTTCCCTTTAATTTTGAAATTTTGATGACCTGTGTAGAATTTATTCTTCAACATATTGAAAAATCCTTTACATATTCTATATGAATGTCCAATAAAGCATTTAAAAAAAAAAAAAAAAGGTTTTGCACTCATTGACCTTTGACCTTGATTATTGACCTAATTAGGCATTTTCAGCACGGAAAACCTCTCCAGATAGACCTATTTGCCCACTTTTACTCATAAATGCCTCTAACATTTACATTTTGAGAAAACATGACAAGTCTACGACAGGTTTGATCAATCTGCCCACACCACGACTTCCTAGGTCGTCCCACATGATTGTCTCTTACAGAGACAACCAGGTGGGCAGGATCATCCTGTGGGAAACGAACCAGGTGGGCAGGATCATCCTGTGGGAAACGAGCCAGGTGGGCAGGATCATCCTGTGGGAAACGAGCCAGGTGAGCAGGATCATCCTGTGGGGAACGAGCCAGGTGGGCAGGATCATCCTGTGGGGAACGAGCCAGGTGGCCGTATAACCTGAGTTGGCGATCACGGATTGTGCAGATAACAGGTCCTGTGCCAGTCTTACAGTTTACAGTGATCATAACCCCCATACTACCCCATGATCCGGCACAAGGACCTACTACAGAAGGCATCAAGTCGAGACTCAAAGGCACTGGATAATGTCAAGGTTTCACTTCCGTATAGCAAAACTGGCATTATCAGGGCCTTGAAAACCCATAACTTGGTGCTTCTGCACAGGTACCGGCATCTCCAAATACTCTTGTCGAGAGAGTTCATGACCCCTGCTGCCAGGCCAATCCGTCTGCTGACTTCCTGGTCTAACAGCCCAGAGTTATGAACTACACTACCAAGGTATGTAAAGCTCTCTGTAACTTCAATGTCCTCGCCGCAAGCACATACCGACCAAACAGGGTTTCCTAACAAGTCCCTAAAGTCCTGGACCTTGGTCTTGGTCCAGGAGACCTATAGACCCAAGGGCTTCGCTTCATCGGCAAAGTCAAGGTCTGTAACCTTGATATTACCCAGTGTTGCTCCACAATGAATTTGAACAGTAGCTCTGCCCAGTATCCAGTCCATGCAAGTATTGAAAAGTGTTGGTGCAAGAACACAGCCTTGCCTCACTCCTGAACTAACAGGAAAGAAGCTCGACAGGCCCCCACCACACTTTACAGCACTTTTAGTACCAGTATACAGACTTGCTATTAGTCCAATAATTCTTGTTAGAATTCCTCTCAGTCTCAGGATCTCCCAGAGTGATTCCCGATGCACCATATCGAACGCCTTCTCGAGGTCGATGAAGGCTGCAAGCAGCCCACGCCCGAACTCACGACGGCGCTCTACAATGACTCGAAGTGAAAGGATAAGGTCTATTGTGGACTTACCAGGAGTGAATCCAGATTGCTCCGGCCTCTGGTGCCTCGGAAGGTGGTCTCTGATACGTCTCAGGAGGATGTGGGCGAGAACCTTGCCTGGTATACTGAGCAGTGTGATGCCTTGGTGATTTATGCAGTCCCATCGGTCCCCCTTCCCCTTCCAGAGAGGGATGACCACACCCCTCAAGAGGTCGGGGGAACGGTACCGGACCGCCAGATGGCAGCCAGGACAGCATGCAACCCATGCGCCATAGGTTCACCACTAGCCTTTAACAGTTCCGCTGGAATGCCACAAATACCCGCTGCTTTGCCACTCTTCAGCTTGGAAATCGCCCCCCTATCTTCAGTTAGGGAGAGTGGATACTCACTGATGGGTGAGTCCGGCAACGGAATCGCGGCATTACACGCATCCAAGTTAACTGTTGGTGAGTCAACCTGGTACAACAGCTCAAAATACTCAGCCCAGCGTTCCCGGCTACTTCCTAAGCGAACTACTGTCACTTGTGAAGAGGACTTGGAGTTCAGCTTTCTCAGGGTTTGGTATGCAGGCTGAAGGTCATTTACTAAAAGCGTTTTAAGCAGGGGAGCTCTTGGGCAAGAATTCTTGCT